GATATTTAAAGCATATACAATATGTGCACTATATAGCAGTGGTTCTCAATTTGTGGTTTGCGGACTCCTGGGAGAGGCGCGATGTTGTCACAGGGGAGTCCACGAAGGCTTGAAGAAATGTTATGATTTAAATCCTGAGCTAAGTCTTCAGGGTCCGTGGCCATGGTCTGTGGCCACAAAAGGTATTTAAAGGGGCTCCATGGTGAAGAAAAGGTTGAGAACCACTGCTATATAGCATACATTTAAACTCAGGTTTCTAAACCAATATAATGAATTGCTTAGCAAAAATAAATACACATTTACATTTAAAAAGAAGCAGTATTTCTGAAAAAAGTACCATAGTGATCTTAAATGATTTAGGCAAATTACTACTATTATTTCAAAGAAGTATTAGTTTATGTGAGCTTCTTAACATTTTTATAAACATTGCATTAATTTTTAAAAACATTCTACCCAATAAATAGGAAAGATTTTTAGTCTATTTATCTTTTTTAATCAATTAAATTTTGCTTATCTAAATATGAATATATTCTGAACTATGCACATTATTACTCTATAAGCGGAGACTTAAAGATATCCATTTATATGTTTTCCCTGTCCCCCAAATATCTCACAGATTTTCATCCCTTCCTGCTAGAGATAAACATTTGCAGCAAGAAATCTTTAACAAGGGAAAATTTGCACATAACTTGAGCCCAAGTTCACATAGTTCCAGCTTATAATATTTGCACACATGGACATAATGGCCTAACAACAGCAACACTGAATAACATTATACAAATAAAATTAAACTTCCAGATATTCACAAGCAATTTAAGCCTTGTGCCACTCATTACTATCGATGTCATAGAAAAGATTCAAGGATTATTAATGTATTTTGCTATTGCTAGTTACATTTGAAAAGGAAATGATAAATTCAACAAGGATATTTACATCACATAATATATCTGAATTCTCTGAACATTTATGGTGCAATGGACAGGTGCCTACAAAAGTCCTAAATGTTAAATTTTAGAATATATTTTATCTCTTACTACTGTTTATACAGCATGTTTAATACACTTTTATTTTGCTTTGCAATAGATTCTTCCTCATTACTTCCAGACCTCATATGACCTAGCATTAGCAGAACAAAATGGTTTTCAGGTGTAAAAGCTTTAAGGATTATTCCCAAGATACAAAACAAAACCCTTTTACAGAGGCCTCTGATAACAGCCAAAAGAGGCCACACATCAGGTTATTATGAATCAGAATGGAGACTGAAAGATACAACAAATGTCAGAAAACCATACCTGTCATTACCTGTGAACATCTCAAGATTCAGTATCAGGTTTCCCTGCTAAGTACATTGAAATATAAGCATACCTCAGATATTGCAGGTTCCGTTCCAGACTACTACAATGGATATTGAAATAAAGCGAATCACATGTTTTGGTTTCCTAGAGCAGTGTTTCTCAACCTTGACAATTTTAAGGCATGTGGACTTCAACTCCCAGAATTCCACAGCCAGCAATGCTGGCTGTGGAATTCTGGGAGTTGAAGTCCACATGCTTTAAAATTGTCAAGGTTGAGAAACACTGTCCTAGAGCATAAAAAAGTTATGTTTATGCTATATTGCACTCTATTAAATATGCAATAGTATTGTGTCTTAAAAAATGTATGTTCTTTAATTAAAAACACTTTATTGCTAAAAAGAATAATCATCATCTGTGTCTTCAGCCAGTTATAACATTTGTCTAACCAATTAAGGACAACAATCAGTGGTTGTTTTTCCCTTTCACCTTGTGGAAGGGAAACACCACTAGGAGAATCTATCATATACTATCCTTCATATGCTATCATATACTATCCTTATTCTCCATTAAAGCTGTTAAGGACACCACTGGTATGGCATTAGGTTGAACCCAGAGCATTTATGCTTGCATAATTATCTGCAAACTCAAGGACGGAGTCAATGAATAGTAATGGTAGTACTGTATCACTGTATTGAAATGCCTTTTTTCTTCTTCTTCCATTTAGTGGTGCCTGATTCTCAGAGACCACCTGAAAAGTCCCTGCAGTTTTCTTGGCAAGATTTCAGAAATGATTTGCCATTGCCTCCTCCTCCTCAAGGCTGAGAGAAAGTGACTAGCCCCATGTTACCAACTGACTTTGAATCTTAGGCAAGACTAGAATTCAGCCTCCCAGTTTCTAGCAAACTGGCTCTCCACTGGAAAGGTATATTGTACCCTAACTGAGAAGATGGAGCAAAATATATTTAAAATTAAAAGTCTGGAAAAGACAATCTGCATTTATCTGGTCCTCTCCTTTTTCTTTCATTAAGCAGTACTCTAGGTCAGGGCTTTTCAACCTTTTCACCCATTGTATCACTCTTAGGATATGGCAATATCCGAGTACCACCAGTCGCCTAGCAAGGTGTCAAAAACTCGATGACCAAAAAAAAAAAAAAAGGAAAAAAGTGATGAAGTACTGGTAGTCCTCGACTTACAACGGTTCACTTAGTGACTGTTCGAAGTTACAATGGCACTGAAAAAAGTGCCGAGCAAGACACCTGCCTGCCCACCCGGCGGCGCTCTTCCTCCTATCCGAGGTTTTCATTGTTGTGAGCATTTCTGTTGAGGATTGGCAGCTGGGGGGTGTTTGGTTTTTATTTCCCCCATCTGCTGGGTGGTTGCAGCAGGTTTTGGTCACTTCACATGACCCTGGGACACTGTGACCGTCATAAATATGAATCAGTTGCCAAGCATCTGAATGTAAATCACAAGACCCTGGAGATGCTGCAACATTCCAGCTAATCGGCGCTTCTTCTGGGCTCAGCAGAAGTGCCAGGATCAGTGCCGAGCTCCAGCTGGAGCCCGGCACTGATCCTGGCGCTTCCACTGAGCCCTGACAGTCCTGAAGAAGCGCTGATCCTGGCGCTTCCGCTGAGCCCTGACAGCCCTGCAACTCCAGCCATCTCTCGCTCAGGCTTGTGCGGTGCTGCCATCGGTTCAGCTCATTCTCCTCCCCTGCTACCACTTTTCTAGGATGGTCGCGTACCACCTGCCAGGTGCCAATGTACCACGGGTGGTACCCGTACCACTGGTTGAAAAGCCTTGCTCTAGGTCATTTTGTATTAAACTAGGAAGGGAAAAGAAAAAAGGGAATCTTTATTTGCAGTACCCCTTATAAAGAAAATGGTTGTGTTCACATAAACCACAAATGATAGAGGCTGAGATCACACAAAAATCAACTTTGGCTTAACACAGTACAGAATCCCAATATATCCAAAGAATCCTTAGATTTTCTTTTTTTTCTCTTGCTCCAAGCCCAAATCTATTAATTCTTTTTACTGTACTGGATCAGTGTTTCTCAACCTCTGCTGGGGAATTCTGGGAGTTGAAGTCCACACATCTTAAAAGTTGTTGAGAGTGAGAAACACCGACAGGCACGCGCGCGCATACGCACATGCAGGGGGGGGAGGGAGAGAGGGAGAGATACTTTTACCTACTTGACCTTTTTCCGTGCACAAGAAACTACTCAAGAAATCAACGTGGACGCTGTGGCTTGAGCAAACCATGCTTAAGCAAACCAGGAATTCACTGATATCCAAGTCCTGTCTAACTCCGATATTTTGTCCCAGACAAGAAGAAAAGGGCAACCACAAGCCGGTGGAAAGACAGGAGGATGGAACAAGCACCTGAGGGCAGGACAAGAAGCAATGGATGGAAACTAATCAAGGAGAGAAGCAACCTAGAACTAAAGAGAAACTTCCTGACAGTTAGAACAATTAACCAGTGGAACAACCTACCTCCAGAAGCGGTGAATGCGCCAACACTGGAAGTTTTTAAGAAGAGACTGGACAGCCATTTGTCTGAAATGGTATAGGGTTTCCTGCCTGAGCAGGGGGTTGGACTAGATGACCTCCAAGGTCCCTTCCAACTTTATTATTATAACCCAGACAGGCCAAGAGCGCAGCATCCCGGGGATAACAGCGCGCAGACCTTCGCTTTTGGACACTCCCCTAAAGTGACTGGAGGTCTGGCGGTCACATGGGCTCTCTCAACCAGGTGGAAGGACGAGTGCTTTGAACTGCGAGCGTTGCCCGCTTGAAGACTTTTAAAGTTCAGCCCCGTTTCCGCGGGAATTTCTGCTTCTCCGCCAGAAATGCCTAACTTTGCAAGGTAAAGAAAGAGAGAGAGAGAGAGGAGGGACACTGTCTGTTATCTGTTTTAACCTCCGCCTTCTGTTACACTTTATTTTCCTTTTTGCAATAACCATTGCAAGCCTCCATCTCGGGAGACGCGCTTGCAACGAGAGAGGATGCTTTTAAGCCACCTGAGTCCCAACCTGCCTATTTTCTTTCGAGTTTATCTTGATGCAACATTTTTTTAGCCTTTCTTCTCCGCCCTTCCTCATTCTCCGCCCTTTGATTCGAAGGTCCGCCTGTCAGTCAGCAGCTTGACTTTTGCCTCTCCCCACCTTCCTGATGGAGTGTTGATGCCCCGCCTTCTTCCTCTGCTTTTGTCCAGCCTTTTTGAAATAGGCTCCGATTGGGTCGATGACGTGCTTGTCCTGCCGCCGGTCCAATCGCAGCTGTTTTGCTTGCCAACGAGCGAGCCGGGAACTTGCAAGTACGGTAAGTGTGCGACTGTAGGAAGGGAGCGCAGTAGCTTTTAGGAAGAGGCGGCATGGAGGGTCGTGGGAACGCGCCACGGCCTTCATAGCCTAGGAGAGCAGCCAGGCTTGGCTCCGAAAGTGCGGGAGAACATCACCAGGGGGATTTTCTGGGAATGGAGGCGATTGGAAAAAGGGCGGATGTACTCCAGGGTTGATATTTCTAAAATACATTTATAAACACGCGCAGAAACCCAGATTTAAGTGCCCCGTGAGACACTTAAAGGAGGCTGTCATCACGGACCCAATTTGGCAGCCATCCTCTATATCTCGTTCAGAGCAGGGCTTTGAAAGGAAGGGATTTGGGTTCTGAGCCCTTTGCTTCTCGGATTTTGCCATGCACGATTTCCAGACGTCCAACTTCTACTTAAGGAAATTCCCATATAGACTGATGGGAACCGGAGTGGAAGTAACCAGGGTAATCAGTAAAGGAACTCAAATAACTACAGACCAGCTTGATGAAGCTTGAATCAGCCCCAGTCAACATAGTCATTTTGACTACTAGGTAATGGGAGCATAACTGGGGAGCACTAGTCTATAGAAAGTTGAACAAAAACGTGTGTGTGTGTATATATGGGGGTGTGTATGTGTACATTTATTTTCATACACCCCCACCATGAGAAAGAGCAAAATACTTTTGATACAACAGGCCAATGGATGGATGGATGGATGGAAAATTTGAGTCCCCAATTCAAACTTTAAAAATATAGGATTACTTGTGGCTTGGCTATATTATATCAAGTTTCAAATGCAGGCATTTAATTTGTTGTAGTGTTTTGAGGTAGTTGCTTTTTCAGAGTTTATTATCTTGTTAATTATCTACATTAATTAATGTCCTTCTTTTAAAATCCGGATGCCTGCAGGCAAGGCTGGGTGAAGTATTGTCATATGCTGAATCTAATAATTGAACTTTTACATGAATAAAAAATTGCAGTGATTGTAATGGCAGTTCCTAAGCACATTGACTTGGAAGAATAATAGTGAACTTACTTCATTAAAGAATAACATTTGAATTATATACAGTATCAAGGATGAATACTACATGAATACAATTCTTTTACAAATAAAGTCAAATTGCATCACTGTATTTCTTTTTCAGTTCAGAAAAGGGCTTATCCATAGTTACTCCAAACTGTTGAATTTTAATGTATGTAGTTCTCTTTGGATTCAAGTAATGAATAGATTATGGGAGCTAGCTCTATAGAGCACACCGTGATTCTTCTATTAAATGTGATGCATATATGTTCTTTAAAACAAATTTCTGAGTGTGCATTTCTTTGAAAGCAGCATATTAAACATAGAGAGGGTACTGTGTTTATACAATCAGGCCTACCAAACAAGGAACCCCAGGATAATTGGTAAAATTTGTAGATTTGTAGAATATTAATGTTTGGCTTCCCTTTTGACAGCAAGGGCATAAAGAAGAGAATGGCTGGTGACTATGATTTTTTAAAAAGTCTGCAGAATAACTTGCAAGAATTGAACCATCTCCGGGCAAAATACTTAACATCAACGAAAAGTTCATCATCTGTTGGGATTAAGTTGTTGCTTTCTGATCAACAGCAACTGCCAGGGGAGAATATGAACATCCAGTCATTTGCTCCTAGAAAAAGTATTCGCCATCGTAATCCATATTGGCCTGATGAAGAAATACGGACTTTCATTGAGATCTGGGGTGATGACCAAGTCCAAGCCTCCCTGGCCACCAACTTTCGGAACGAGGCACAGTATGAGTGGATCTCTGATAGGATGCGAGAATATGGCTATGACCGGGATATGAAGCAGTGTCGCTTGCGTGCCAAGGAACTTCGACGAGGATACAAAGCAATTGTTTGTGGAAACAACTCTTCTGTGAGCGGTCAACGCGCCTTGCCATTTTATGATTCTTTGAACAGTTTCCTGTGCATGCACAAGGGTCTTGTGGTGTCCAAAGTTTCTCTATCTATAGATAGGAGGAATCATGAGGTCCAAAAATTGGGCTTCGAGCAAGAAAAAAATGAAAAGTTAAGTGTTGTCTTGGTTTCTGATGATGATGAAACATCCATCCCAGAACCTACAGATGACTCCAATGGCTATTTTCAAGATGCACGGATGGATTCCGAACCTGTAAATGCCCAGTCTCCAGATGATGAATGGGAACCGCATGAAGAAGATGGCCTTCTTGCGAGAGATGTGGCTTCACCTAGTTTCCCTAATACAAGAGGAGATGGTCATTCCATCAGCTCAGGTGAACATTAAGAATTAGCACCATTTTCAGAAAGACGGGTTTTCTGGTATGATTTAAGCTAAATTAAATTAGGGGAAGCTGTGCTTAATTTCTTTAAAGTGGATAGGGAAATACTATCATTTAATGTTGCATAAAATTTACTGACTTAAGTGCACAGGTTTGAATATTGCTTACTTATTAAAGTTTGCATCTGTTCAGAGGTTGTTTCTTTTCCTAATTTGACTTGCCCCCAGGTTAAATATTAATGAATTCTAGGGAGATTAATGTGGATTGTGGATTGTCTTTGATCACTTGATAACTCCTATTCCTTGTTTTCAATGTAGGCCCATCTGGCACTTTTTCCAGGGCATCCCTGGTTGATGCTGACAGAATAAGCAACAACCACTGGAATAGGAAACAAAGGAGACAAACTGAAACTACTTCAGACATAGTAGATGCCATTTCCCAAGTGGGTGACAGACTAGTAAATGCTCTGTCTGATTTGCACTCAAAACACAGTGAAACCTCTGAACTTGCACAGAGTAGAGCATGTGATTCCCATAAGGAGGAATTTACCATACTTGCCAATCATGTAAATCAGGCTGCTCAAAACATGGACAAACTGATTGCTCTCATGGAAACGTCTACCAGACGGATAGCAGAGGCCATGGACAGACAGACGGTTGCCTTGGAGAATCTGGCACAATTGTTTGCTGCAAGAGCACCAGCAATTTCAGTGCCCTTGGCATCCCAGGAGCAGTCTATGATGGTGTCTTCTCCCAGAAATTGTGTATCAATCCCATGCCCCCCAGCAGAATTATACAATACTGTGAACACTTTAACAGGAAATTGCACTTCTAATCAGAAAGCACAAGGTTTGCTTGCTGAAGATTCTCAACCAGTGGCAAAGAAAATAAAAACAGAAGAAGACTAATATAATTTGCTCAGAAATCCTCAAATGTTCTGTTCTTCTCTCATAAGATGAACATTTCTCCTTATCACTTATTTTTACATGCAGTTGGGGGAAAATAAGGAAAGTGGATGGTATAAAAATATTATGACTTATTTTTTTAATAAAAAGATTTATAGCTAGAGCAATATATTTGTAGGTGTATTTATATATAGCTTGGAAGGATGAATGCTGCCCATTGTGATGAAATTGTACAGTTCATTGACATTCCATTCTGTAGTTTGATTTTTGTTCTGCCGCTTAAGTATGCAACAGGCTGTTGTCCTGTGCACACTTGGACATAAGATATGTAGGTTTTATTTCAGATTGTGATTGCGGTCAGGATGTTGGCTTTGGACCTGAAGAACATATTCAGAATTTAAGCCCAGCCATGAACATAGTGGATGTTTTTTAGTAGATTCTACTGAGGCACAATTTTTTTGATCTCTAGATGGGTAATACAAATGACTTAAATCATTTGCTGATTCAAAGATAAACCATTTAAAAAGTTGTGAATCATTGTGCTCATTTTTACTGGCATAGAAGATAAGAGTAGAGAACTCTTTGTGTGCTATATAAATCCTGTTATTAAATCAATGAGATATACTACTACTATTGGGCTATTTTTCTCCCTAATTTCACTGAAGCCATGTGCCAGATAAATTAATTGGTAACACAAAATTTACTCCATTATTTTTACATACACTTTTTAATATTATTGTGCTGCTTTTAGAAAATTGCAAGCCAAGCCCCTCAAAGCCGTATTCATGCACCTTGAAGCTGAAACGAAGCCAAATGCATTGGGAAAGGAAGCATAGTTCCATGAGATCTATGCGATTGAAACACTTGTCCTGTTTTAAAAATGAGGAAACGATCTCATTAGTCGTTGAACACCATCTCCCATCACCAGCAGCCACCACATCCCATGGCAGGGCTGTTGAGAGATACGTTCAAGAGCATTTGAGGAGCCAGCTAACTTTCTCACCTCTGGACTGAATTCAGCATTTGTTTCTAATAGCAGCAAGCAAAGGGTCTTGGGCAAATCACCAGGAATGACAAACATCTTATTTCTATGGTGGATATAAAAAATCTATATACCCCTGTTAAAATGCCAGGTTTTTGAGATGTAAAAAAGTCAGACCAAGATAAATCACTCGAGATTTTTTTTGACCTTTAATATAACATATAAGCTGTACAAATCAATTGAAAAGCAAACAAATCTTTTTTGGGGTAATAACGAAAAATTAACAATGACATGATTGTGTAAGTGCATAAAGTGGCATTTTAACAGGTGTGTAGACTTTTCACAGTGCTGCTTCATCTAACTATTGCAAAGCTCTTCGCTTTTTGGGAGAGAACCCTATTGTGACTTAATGAAATAAGTAAATGTATTCTATCATTCTTTAGGTAAGGGAGCCATTTTTAGTATATTAATCTCGTGATTAATACAGTACCCTGAATGTCTTATTGGAGAGAGTAAGAATTATGGGGATGAGAGTATTTCCTGGTAAACATGTTATTTTAAGATATTTTGAGTTACACCCACTATCTTTTACTGTGGATTTCGTTGGTGGGGGCTAATGGGAATCAGGTCAACATCTGGAAGACACAAGGTTGACCATCCCTGACTTTCCCCATAAATGGGAATCTTATTAAAAGCTTTCTTTTCCTGAATTTGGGAAACTAAAATTGTACTTAAAAGAATATCAAGGCCTAATTAGTGTCATTTTTCAGACAACTAATTCAAGCAAAGTTTTCTCTTCACTTTTGTTCCTTTTTCAAATAAGATGCCAAAATTGCTTTCAGAAACTTGGCTCTTTTTGAGGAATATAATGCAGTCTTCTTCCTTTTCCTTCTACAGCTGTTTGGTTATGTGCTATTCCTCTAGCCTCCACTTTCCCCACCCAAAAAAACTATTCAGCGGCAGTAGGATAATTAGACATAAGAATAATTGTCCACTGATGGAATCTTTTTTCTCATCAACCTATTGCCTGACGGGGATGGGGAAGACATTGATTTTGTCCAAGTATGCCTTTCTGTAGAGTGCAACTTCATTTTTCCTCTGACATTGGAAACTCTTTTTGAAAGTCTAGTTACCTGAAGGGACAGTTTTAAATGTAACCCAAATGTGAATTCTGTAAGACCATAAAGATTAAATATATTCATTTTAACATAACCATCATAGCTCCTACTTAGATGTTGCCTCAGATGTCTTTGAGGAGGCCATTTTTGTTGCATTTCAGGTGCAGATTGTTTAGGCTACAATCGTATTTGACCTTTAATTGGCATGCTGAGGGTTGCTCTTGAAGAAGTGAAGAAACAAGGGAAAGAAAACAAGTCTTAAGCTAGAGTAAAATGAAGTAGACGTACATTGGATATGATTACATACATTCTTTTCCTCTTGTCATCTTAACAATCACAATTTGGTGGCAATTTTTGGAGGCATTCAATTGCATACAGAATTGTTGCAGGGCTGCATGGAGTTTGGGGTTGTGCTCTGATTAGAGAAAAGTTTGGAGTTATCACAAAAGTTGCAATATAGTGTAGAATGCTTTTCAGCTTGTTGTCTCCATCCTTTGTTCTCCAGATTTTTCCCTCAAGACTTATTTAGCATGATGTGATGAAAGGCTGATATTTAATACCTTGTTTTTAAGGCAGGAAGGAGGGGTTGCCTTTCTGTTTTGTTTTGGAGGAGTGTTTGCCTTATAATTTGTACTTCTGGAAATCTTAGGTTACCCCTCCAAACATCATGATTTCTCTCTTGTATTTGTCATTGGTTTCATGTTTATTATAATCTTGTTGGCAATGACTACTTGAATGTATTATTGGAGAGAGTAAGAATTATGGGGGTGAGAGTGTTTCCTGGTAGAAAAGAGAATAGAATATAGCATATATATATAAAACAATTGTGTGTGTGTGCGCGCGCGCACTATAATTGTCACCTGGGCAACAAATTTGGAGAAGATTGGCAATGCTTTTCAAGTCACTTCTATTTTAAAAGGTATATCTTTTTTTCTCCTCAAATGCCTATTTGAAACCAGGATGTGACATCTATTACATAAACTCAGAGTTATATATTTCCTATATATTTATATAATAGTTTTCTATTTAGCTTTCGGAAGCTTTCACTTTTTTGTATGCCTAATGTATCAGTAAAGTTGGATAATAAAAATTGCATTGAAGTAGCAAATGATAGTTTATTAAGATCAGTTCATATGTTCATTCCAAAATAAGTTATTTAGATAATTTGAGTTTTGTTGAATGCACATAGACCTAATGTTTTATAGGATTGTGATTTCTAGTGTGAGACAAGTTATTTAAAATATGAATGCAGAAAATGAGCAGAAGAGAATCATTTGAAAACAATTCCATTGCAATTGAGGTTGCTTTTCTCTTGGATTTATCTAGAGAAGAAGAGCAGTGAGCGATCTAAATACCGTTTGTGAAATCAGCCTACGGATTTCAATTAAATCTCATAAAAAGTAATGCTTCTAAGGGAAGAAAGAACATTTAACTTTGTTTATAATTAGGGTATAAGTGCAATTAAATCTACATATAATTCCCAATAACAGCAGTATGTTTTTGTGCAAGTAATAATCTACATTAAACTAGGACCTAAATTAAATTAACATATTCCTAATAAGTATTCAAATGTTATTTCGTAGCAGTTTATCAGGACATTGAATAGCAAGGGTTAATGTTAATTAAATTTGAAGGCTTAAAAACCTTTATCAGAACAACCTTTAAATATAATTCAAAAATCACTATTTTAATCCATGTAGACTGTCAAGGTATATGAGAAGCAGACATGGTAATTACAACTTTCCCACTGCAGCATTCTTCATTTTTTATATCAAATTTACTTTGCAGACATTGTAATATGCAGTTAGGCCAGTTCATCTTTAATGACTCAAATCATTGCATTTCTATCGGTATACGGAAAGTGTTTCTGTATTTTATGATCTGGGAGTTTGGGGCTGGAAGCTTTCTTGAGTCCTTTTGCTATCCAGTATTGAAAAACAGGCGGGAGTATTTTTCTCCTGACCACTTCAATTCACTGATCTCCTCCTCCTCCTCCTCCTCCTCCTCCTCCTCCTCCTCCTCACAAGAAAAAAGGCAATGTAAATGCTGAAATGAGCAGGATTGTGCATCTTCTATATTTTGCCCTATCTGCTTGTTGTCTCCGCTTCTATATTGCACAAAATTTAAATTCAGACAATTCAGACAAATACAAGGTAAGGATGTCGAATCATCTGGGTCACCCTGCCAGATTTTTAATTTCCTGGCTTGACCTGGCTGTTCCAGGATTTCTCTAGTATATCAAGTATAAAAAGAAGAGTTGTTTTGCTGAGCCAAGAGTGTATGCAGCAGGGTTTTTTTCATTTTACTAACACTTTTCTACCAAAAACAATGGCATGCCGCAGACCAGGGGTTCGTGCCTCCTGGTATAGTCCACAAAGATTTAGAAGGGTACATTTATTTTTAAATTGTTTTGAAAGATAGTTCTCACTGGCCTGGCTAGAATAAATATGTTCTGCCATGATGGCCTGCCCAGCAGATTGTAACTGATTTACAGGTTGTACTTTATCAAAAACACTGAGTCAGCCCATCTCCTCATATAACTACATTCATAGGACATATGGTTCAAGAAACCTAAAATTAAACACCCACCTCCCCAGATTTAAGCTTATAAAACTCAAGGACATCACTAAAGACAGAACAATTTTAGTTTTGCCCAGATTTTGCACCCCCAGAGGTTCTCAGTATATTCTCAAGCTGAAAAGCCTAAATCTGTTTTGGTGAATCCAGAACAGGACTTCATGTAGAATTCAGCTAGTCCAAACTAGAACAGATAGAAGAAAATTATTGGGTTTTCCCTTGTTACACATCCACAATCCTACAATTTTGAAGAAGATCCAAGGATTCACAACCTGTCAGACCCCAAAACCCTCATCTGCTCTCTCCTTCTATCCTTTTGCGTCCTGCCATTCTTGCTGGGGGGAGGGGGTGCATGGGGGATTCATAGTGTTAACTTTCACTTTCTCCTTTGGCCTCCTTTTGAGTATGGAATGTGTCTCCTTATCTAGGAGACAGTTACAAGGAAACGA